TTTTTACCCAGGAAAAACAAAACAAATAATATCTATTATCCTAACGAATAGCAATCAAAACATCATTGGCAGTATTTCCTAGCCACTTTGCAGACCTCCCATTTATTTATACAGGGCTCAAAAGAGCTTTACAAATTTAGGACAGCAGATCATGTTGAGGAAAAAGATTTTACAAAGCTCTTCATGTTCAGATCTTCTTTCTAGCCATCTCAGTAATATAGTAAGCATTACTGAAAAGACTAAAAAGGTCAGAACAGCATTATAAGAGGCAGGAGAGAAATCAGGAATCTTGCTATATACACCTTCCTGCAAATTCTAACTGCAGCAACCTAGGTTTCACCTTAATTCAGCAACAAAATTCCTACTGATTTTTAGCAGCAGAGGAATGCATTCACTATGTCTTTTGCCACATGGATTTTCTCTGAGCTCAGCGAGGCTACTCAGAATAATCCCTGCTTGCAGGACTGTTTATGTCTTAAACAAAGAGATGCTGTGCTAAAATAATCTGCATTTTGTAGCTTTCGTGGTGCATATATTGAACTGACCTTGATACCAAGTCGCCAAAACAAGCATTTTGTGACCTGTTTTTCATCACTAACTTCACTCTAACATTTCTCCACACTGAAAATGAGTGTTAATTTTAAAAGCTTGAATTTGTGATTTTACAAAACAAAAATTAATCAAAGAATAGGTAGGTATAATGCTTTTATGTTCTTTCCAGTTTTGGAAAGAATAGTGCTTTATTTTTCAACTCCAGATGGCACTGTGGTGCTTAACACTACCCAATTGGGGGAGAGCAGATGGACTGCAAAAGCACGCAAGCTCCTGAGAAACAATGGCTTTCTTGTTTTATGAGAAATCAGCTCCTAATAGTTTTCCAGTGCAGATGTCCTATTTTACTTTCAGTTCGGTGAAGACTGGGCTAACAAATGGCAGTTTATATGCCTGAGATACAACTCGTCGTGGAAGAAAGGACTCGCTTGTCTGTACTTGCACGAGGTCACGAGGGTAGTAGCCCTTGCCTTCACCAGCAAAACCTAATGCAGGACATGCTACTGCAGAATGAGGGGGGAAGGTCTGCTGTTGCACAGCTCTTCCTGTTCACAGTGATTAATTCTGTCTCTGTACAATTGGTAATTCTGCTCATAAAAGTGTGTTTTCAAGGATGGAGTGCAGACCACTGAAGTAATGAGGTTATCGGTAACTTTTCTAGGGAAACCCATAGACTTTACTGTTTGGAAGACATCCTTTGCCATTTCCTGTTATCGCTTAGACTATTACAGAAATGTCTACAATAAATAATATTCGTCCTTCATGTTCATCCTTCGAAAATTTAGGAGTAGGACATTTACATAGTTGCTTAATCATACACTCATCTATAGTGCATCTTCTTACATAGTAATTTTTCTTGAGATTCTATCCCCTTAGTTTTCATAGCCTTCTCAACTCTTAATTTTGTAGAATTCTGCCTGACACCTACATTCTTTTAACCCTTCCTAGCTTATACTCTAATTCTCCAATTTTGTATAGACTAATTTCTAAATACTTGTTACCTGACCTATGGACCCAGTTAAGAGTTCCCAGCTCCCACCGCGCAATCACTAAACCGTTGTTCGACCCAAGTCTGAATAACAACACTGGTTCTTCTGTGCATTTCATCCGACAGAATTCTGGAATTTGCTCCATAGGCCCACGAACTTCCCACAGGCCACGTAACCCTTTTGATTCCAAGCAAAACTCAAAGAGTTTACACTGCTGTTTGCAGGCTGTTATATTTTTAACCCAAGTAAATCCTTTCCTGTAAGTTAAGGAAGCAACTGAAGATACATAGAAAGGGCAGGCTATTTGTCATGCATCTTCCAGCACAGATGACTATTTCATTACAAAGAGTTTATGAAAGAAGAGGAGCTCAAAAGACAAAAAGGAATAAAAGCGAGAGAGAGATGACTGTTTTAAACAGGCAAGACCTTAAAATAGGCAAGGTTCTCTCAAGCACCATATGGAATCCTTTTCCAAAGGCATCAAAAATGCAAACACACCTGCCCACACACACAGAGAGCATCCTCAAGTTCCCCTAGATTTATGAATTATTAGTGTATTTGTCATGTTAGTTCCGGTAAATGAGTAGCCATAAAATCACACAAGGCAGAACGTCCTACATTACTAGACAATAACGATGTCTCTGAAGACTGAAAACCTGTACAACACCTGCTTTCGTTCCACAGCTCTGTAGCTCTTAATTTTCTTCTCCATCCTCAAAGTTGCATAAGGACAGTGGTGGCTCCTGATAGCATTACAGAGTGCACAACTGATATGTTATTGGAATATGTGACACAATAGATGAGCATTTCTTCTTCCGGAATGCGTTCATGTCCATTCTAGGTCTTCTGAATAAAATTCAGAAAATGTCCTGAAATAATTTTTTTTTAATTCAAAATAAACTTTAATTTTAGAAAACTGTTCCCAAACAAAATTTATATACATTGTATTTACAATTTTGCTGCTGCCTAGGTAATATTTACATGTAATGCAAAATCTTCCCCTTGCATTAGTCACACTTCAATGTGCTCCACTCAGCCTTTAGACTGAAACCAATGCCAGAGCAGACAAGGGAGACATTTCAGAAAAAAAAATCTTGCGTGTAACCATGACATGTAAGATTAATTAAAAAAAAAAAAATCTAACCTAAGAGGAACAAACCAAAGCACTGTTGTTAAATCATTAGAAAAACAAAATTGGCAGTAGAAAGAATATACATTTCCTGAAGAGGGACATACAGAGTGGTGAGAAACTTTATCAGCTGCAATGCTAAGGTTGTACTAAGATGAACAGAGAGCTGGGTAAAAGCCAGATGACAGCTACAATAGCAAACAGGGTTTGGCTCAGCAGGCACCAGCATTTTCCTAGTGCATATTCTTCTGTCATTCTCTGCTGCAGCACAACTTCATTCCCTCTTAAACTCAAGGCAGAAGGTGAAGGAGGAAAATGAAAGCAGGCTAGACCAGCATCCCTGAAGCTTTTCTAAAAGATCATAGAATCATAGAATCATTTAGTTTGGCAAAGACCTTTAAGATCATCAATTCAACCGTTAACCTAGCACTGCCAAGTCCACCACTAAACCATGTCCCTAAGCATCATGTTTCCATGTCTTCTAAATACCTCCAGGGATGGTGACTCAACCACTTCCCTGGGCAGCCTGTTCCAATGCTTGACAACCCTTTCGGTGAAGAAATTTTTCCTCACGTCCAATCTAAACCTCCCCTGGTGCAACTTGAGGCCATTTCCTCTTGTCCTATCGCTAGTTACTTGGGAGAAGAGACCAACAC